CTCGTTGCGATTTTCATTTCGCATTGCGATTTTCATTTCGCATTGCGATTCTCTCGTTGCGATTTTCATTTCGCATTGCGATTTTCATTTCGCATTGCGATTCTCTCGTTGCGATTTTCATTTCCGCATTGCGATTTTCATGTTGGGATTTTCATTTCGCGTTGCGATTGTATTTTCCGTGTTGCGATAGTCAAATGCATGCCTAATAGTGATAACAACTGAATAACAAGAGTTGGTTAAGTCAAAATGGTTGGCCTGAGTCATTAATTCAACTGAAAATGTTAAAAGTTCACACATAAAATCCACATAATACAACGTTTGCATATGAGCTTTTGATGGCAACGTTTACATAATACACATAAAATGTTAAATGTTAAAACGTTTACATAATACAACTGAATAACAACGTTTACATAATACAAAGTTCACACCATATGAGCTTTGGATTTTGATGAGGATCCATATTTTGGTAGAGGAAAAGATGATTTTGATGGCACTGGTGATCCACATGTCAACCTTGTATGACCACTTTCCTTGCACCGACTACATGTCGATCTCTTCTTCTCTTCACCCTTAGACGGTATACGATCGTGACTTTTTGGTCGGCCAGGTAGCCTTCTGTCCATGGCTGGTGGCAAAACTGTTTGTAAGTCATCTGGTATGTCCCACTCAGAAGGATGTGGAATAGGGTAGACAATCTCGGCATAAGTCTGTCGATAAACTTCTGTAGTGTAGCAATCCATAGCGTATGCGCTTGAATCATCTTGGTTTAAATGAAGAGCAACTTTTATAATATGGCCATACGGATAACCAGATGTTTGCCATTTCATACAACTACACGTCTTTGCATTTAGATCGACTAGCCCATTTAAGTTATTATCCAGTACTTGAAACAAAGTGTTGAACATGGTTCAACTCTCCATGACGTTGACTTCACAACACGTTTCGTTATCTTTTTTTCAGTCCATGGTGTAACACGATGTTCCAATGTTCCTGTAAATTTAAATAAACAATACTTAGTAAAATATATAAATATGATAAGTTACGAATTCAAAGAAATAATACCTGCATGGTTTCTTTTCTTGTAGTACCACTGTTGAATAGAGGCTCGAAAAAACTCCATTAACATAGTAATGGGTAATTTCCGGGAATGACGACTTAGAGCGTTGATTGATTCTGCACTATTAGACGTCATGAAACCATATCTTGCTCCAAGTTGATGTACTCTTGACCATCTTTCAAACCCGACATCTTCTAGTGTTTGAGCACACTGAGGCAAAACACGTCTTAAACAATTTATATGCTTATTGAAATCCACTTCCCGATAAGCTTTTACAGCCTTCCAGTATGTCCATTTGTGCTTTTTTATACCAGCAGACCTTGATTTTAGATTTCTATACAAATGAACACCACAAAGTCCATGAAAAGCATCTGGGAAACACCTTCTAACAGCGTTGTCAATTGAGTTTGCCCTATCGGATATGATTGTCAGATTGCTAATAGGACCTATGCAATCCCTAAGATGCCCCATAAACCATGTCCATGAATCAGAGGTTTCAGATTTGCCAACCCCGTAAGCTATTGGCAATATCCCATTGTTAGCATCCATGGCTACTGCTAATAAGTTTACTCCAAGGTATCGACCTTTCAAATGTGCTCCGTCAACTATAATAACTGGGCGCATGCAAGTAATAAACGAACGAATCTACAAAATATATACACAAGAAATATAATCATTTAAATGTGAAATGCATGTAACTAACAAAAATGAGTCAACAAAATTATATTGATTTACTAACCGTAGCACCAATGGCGATAAACAGCAACTCAAAGCGTCCATCTCTATCTGTTTTGATATGAGTTACCGACCCAGGATTTTTCAGCTTTAAATTGTGACAATAAGCCGGCAGTTGGGCAAACGATGCTTCTGGCGACCCCCTCAACAATTCCAAGGCATAACATTTGGCTCTCCAAGCTTGAGAATATGATATACTAATCTTGAACCGAGCATTCATGTCAGTCATAATTTCATGTCCCCGATATACCCTGCCATTCAAAAACATTAACTCAGCCAGAAAACCACCCAACACCTTTTTGTTTGCCTGTCTATGGTGAGGAAAAACTTGGGTTCTTGAACATGTATGTTTATCAATAAAAGTCCTAACTTGAAACATTTTGCAATCTTTTATTCTCTTTGCAATCATACGCCACGTACAGTTTTTGTCAATCATACACCTTGTTTCGAAACGATCTTTGCTTGATTTGTTAACTTTTAGTTGATAGCCATCTTCCACACATTTCGTATATAAAGCTATCTTCAAGTCTTCCTTTGTATCAAAACAATCATCTTTCTTGATACGAATAACTTTTGTGTAACAATCAACTGCTTTCTTTATCAACTCTTCTTCCGGTATCTGAAGTAATTCTGGCATATTCCAGTTATACGCCCGTGGCATTTTCTTTTCTTCGGGGACTTTTTCTTCTTCTTTTTCTTCTTCAGGATTATATGAATTACAGAATGGATGTTCAACATGTTCATTCACAGTCGTAACTTCCTCCTCATTATCATCAACATTACATTCTTCGGCAACGGCTGTTTCATCATCAAAATTCGGGTATTGACCAATATCAATATCATTACACGCATGGTCTGTTTCTTCTTCTGAAACATCATCAAAATCCGTGTATTGACCAATATCAAAGTCCGGATATTGACCAAGACCAAATTTCGAATACTGACTAGTACTCACAATTTTTTCTGTTGGCTCATCATCGTCTAACTGGTCAATACGAAAACCGGAATTTGGTGCTGAAAGTTGATTGGGATTTGGATTAGAGAAAGGTTGTGGGTTTTGAGAAAAAACTTAGTTGATTACTACCCGCTACTGACCCAACAATACTACTTCTAGGTTCAACAACATACAATGTAACATCATCTTGTGAAACACTAATGTAAGCAATGAATCGTTCAACATCTTCATTGTCGGTTAACAAATAAACTTTACCATTTCTCTGATAAGATAGCCTAAATCCACTTAGGGGCTCTAAATTCAATTTATTTGAAACACGTAGCATTAGAGTTTCATAAGTTAACTTTTGTAAAGACAATTTTAGTTGAAGATTTATGGGTAAAGGCATATATTGTAAAACACCATTAACATTATCCCATGACCCTCCAAAACACAAATCTATCCAAACATGATCAACATTAGATGATTTCATGGTTGTAACTAAACAAACGAGATGCGAAACTAAGACCTATTGCCGGATGGGGAAGGATGTCGTTGGATATAGGAACGGATGTCGCCGGAGAGAGTGATAGATGGAGATGGAATGAGTTGCGATTTAGGGATTTAGTTTATGATTTCAGTGTTATATACCCAAAATTTCAGTGTTGTGATTTACAGATTCTCGTTGCGATTTACGGATTATCGTTGCGATTTACAGATTCTCGTTGCGATTTACGGATTATCGTTGCGATTTACGGATACGCGTTGCGATTTACGGATTATCGTTGCGATTTACGGATACGCGTTGCGATTTACGGATACGCATTGCGATTTACGGATACGCGTTGCGATTTACGGATACACGTTGCGGTTTACGGATACGCGTTGCGATTTACGGATACGCGTTGCGATATACGGATACGCATTGCGATTTACCCATACGCGTTGCGATTTACGGATACACGTTGCGATTTACGGATACGCGTTGCGATTTATGTGTTCGCGTTGCGATTTTCATATTCGCGTTGCGATTATGGAAAATCGCAATGCGAATTTGTACTATCGCATCGCGATTTTCAAGAATCGCGTTGCGATTCTGGAAACTGATTTGCGATTCTGGGGATCGCGTTGCGATTTTTATTTCGCGTTGCGATTTTGTTGGTCATTTTGGCAAATCCAAAAAAAGTTGGTTAAAATCGTATATTATAACTTTTTTTTGGTCACTGAGGCGATTTTCTCAATTTTAAATCAAAAGTAATGTCAACCAATACATTCGGTGTTGTTCCCCCTTTACGACTACAAAATCTTCCTTGAATGTTAGGTGGAACAGATGCACGAATATAAGTTCCATCTAATGCTCTGATGCAATCTTTAAAATATGGGTAAAACCTAGAATTGTTTCTTATCTCAAGAGGAGTTGACTCATCGGGTAATCTAATGGCTAATTGATATAATTTCAAAATAGCTCTCAACACAATCCTAAAGTAACGGTGAATTATTTCAATTGATCTATAATATATTGATCCAATCACTTGAAATATTACATTATGACCAATTATATGTAAAAATATGATAATTTTCTCTTTAACATTCACCGCTCTTGTCGACTGCAACAAATTGTTCCTAGTAAGGATGTCACACAGATTGAAAAACGCAACTGGCCGCATCCATATTATGTCGATACAATTCTGGTCACCTCTATATAAAATACTATTGATGTAGTTTTCTCTTTCACAATCTCGATTCACATGATGTTCATGAGTTATTTGCTTTCTAGATTTTAGTCTGTGAATCCAAAGAGCCCCAAAAGCCAATGCTGAAGCAGCGACTCTCACTATTTTTTATGAATATAATTACGTTCCATCTACAAAGAAATTAGACGTCAATATTTATGAATTTTTTAACTTTATAATAAATTATAACCACTATTTTTTTATGAATAGAATTATGTTCAATCTTGTTGAAAGTTAAGTGTTCTTTCTTTGTTTTATCTCATTTTGGGTCAAATCTGCTATATCTCAATATTATGTATAAGTTTCATATGAAGTATTAATAATTTATGCCATAAATCATATGGATTTGATCCAAATTTATTTATACCTAACAAAAATATATTATAAGAAACTAGATTCATATTACGTTTAAGCTTTTACCTAAAGCTAAAGTTCATATTACGTTTAAGTTTTTACCTAAACTAAAGTGGATGTAATTTATGTCTATATACTATTAAGAATTTATGTCATATATCATATATTTGAAAAACGTACCTCGTTTCTTTTTTTGATCAATGATATGCCAGGTTCAATGGTCGATCCTCGTATTAGAGAAAATTTCAACCAAATGTGCAGGTGGACTCCAGTAAGACGAACCTGTCAGAAATATTACAACTACAAAGATTCAGAAAAATAGTTTCAGTCTAGACAAAGCAAAATTATTTGTTACGGACGCCATCAATCAACGTTAGGTAAATCCAACAAGGATCAAGGGTCACGTGAAGGAAGGACTACATGCTTGATGTTTGAGGATATTCGTATCAAAAGCATAGGAGGAAGGAGATTCTTGATCGAAACCGAAGATCTGGATTTGCTAGAGGTTGTGAAAGAGCAAAATTGGGCATATCTCAAAGAAAGTTTTACACGAAATTGAGCCATGATCAAAGTCTTTTCATCCAACAGAGAGAATAACCCGGATACAAGCCATTGGGATTCCATTACACTGTCGGAACCATACTACTTTTAAAATAATTGCTGAACAGTGGGGAGAATTAATCACATTGGGAGAAAATGCAACTCAATTTATGGATTGTAAGGTGTGTCTCCTTGTATTTACGAATCAAATGGAAAATATAGACCAAACGCTAGAAAGGGAAGCGAGGAATGTTTGTTGTATGATCAGAATTAAGGAAATAAACGGGAACTACTTGTGCAATCAAATCGAAGGAACAAATAAGCAAATTAACAAGAAAGAAACTTGCTAAAAAAATGAAAGCTCATATGAATCTTCTTCGATCTAGGTTAGTGCAAACTCATAAATATGGTTTTCAGGGTAAAAAACAAGTAGCATATTTTATAAAGAACTAACTAAAGGTTTCGAACTTTAATCTAGTCAAAAACTCAATTTTAACTAAGTAGTACCGATACTGCTAAGGCAGTACCGATACCATGAAAATAGAACCTCAAAACGGTATTGATACCTTCAACTAGTATCGATACTACTCAATTTTAACTCTGAATTTTTTATGTTGTGGCCTAGGAAAGTATTTTTAATCCTTGAACGAATTTATGCCATAAATTTGCATTACAACGTACACACGGTTAACCCTCAACTATTGCATGGTTCCATTAAAATTTGCATTAGAATGTGGTATTTGACTGAGAAGTGCATAATCAACCAAGAGAGGTACCATAGATAGAACATTGCTTGGTAGCATAATATAGTGTCTTCAATTTACACTGAAGATGTCAATTCACACCGAAGAAGTCCTAAAATATCAAAATGTAGTTTTCCTAAATGAAGCTGTCGGAATTCTAGATGTGAAAGTTGTGAGGGCAATGAAGCTTAAAGAGAAATATCTCCTTGGAAAATCTAATCCATACGTGAAACTAAAACTAAAAAATGAGGCTTTAACACATAAGTAAAAACTCCTAACTGTAGTGGTAACTGCTTACTATTATATGATAAATTTATCGATGATATGATTATCACATAGGAATCTCATCAGTACCCTTAACAGCTGAAAAATTGGATGTGCAAGGCTTTAGAATTTATTGCATTACTAGTGAACCTAAGGCAAAATCTAAGAAGAAGAATCGAAAGAAAGACAAGTTTAAGTCTCTCAAGAAGGGATCTTTAAATTCTCAAGAAAGCCACATGTGTTGTTATGGCACCCCGGTCTAGCCTTGGCGGAGCATGTGTGGCAATAGTGACCGTTAGCTCGAGCACATTGAGTCGAACGGCACCGAGGGGCACGGTACGTCGATGAAATATAACTTTTATCACAAGTGATCCATAGTAACCTTCCATTCAAGTCCACAACAAATGGGACTTTCAGTGAAGGAGTTCGCTTGTATATGTTGGCCACATAAAGGTTGGTCTTTTGATCTCTTTGCACCGGCAAAACAAACCTATTCGGCTTCAGAGTCGTTAGAGATTCCGATAAAAGGTAGAAAGAAGAAAAGGAAAGGAAAATGAGAAGGAAATGATGGAAAGAAGCCATGAATGCCTCACATGGTGTAAGAAAGGCTAAGCGGTGCGGAGATGAAGGGGGAAATTTGAGTTATTTTATAGGCAAAATATTGTTGTTAAAATGTAGTCTTTATCTTTTTTGTAATCTCAGCATTGTTCATGTGACAATTTTGGGATTATAAGCATTTGGGAAGTACAGAGGGAGGCTTTGAAAATCTAAGTTTGGCAAAATTCAGGCTAAAAGATGAACATCAAAGCAAATGAACAAAATTGAATTGGTAAGTGTGAACTGTGAAAGCCACTTGGCAATGGCTAAGTTATCACCAGACATTAATTTTATTTTGTTGCCATCAACTCATTCTATCACTTCATGGCCTTGGCTTGGTCTTGGGCTGGAATTAAGACAAAATCAACAAACCAAGCCTTGTTAACCGTGGCAACAAAAGATCAGATCAAAGAGAATGGACTCTCGGTTGAAGGAGAAAATCAACAAATGATCAAACCAAGCATTGTTAACAGCACACTCAGAAAAGCATAACCAACAAGCCTAACTAAAATTTTAAGTCTCAAGAATCAATTTCTATGACACCGACCCATAAGCTAGGTAAACATAAAAAAACTCTATATGGTACTAGTACAATTTAAAAACATGGAGGTCCTTTGGCATCAGAATTTCTCGTGAACTTCTACAAGCCTGAAGCTGGTACTCTCAATGCTCAACCAGACAAAGGGCTTAGCTAGTGTTGTACTTTTCAGCCAAAATCAGATATAATCACCTTTGTGTAGCTTGTTAATTCAGTTGCTAGTAAACTAATAAACCAAAATCATAACTAGAACAAAATTCTGAAGCAAAAGCAGAACCACAAAGCCATTAATGGGAAGTTCATGTCTGTTTTCTACTGAAAATGGGTCTATGCCCAAATCACGTATTATTCTACTGCTATAACCTGGATTGCTTTCGACATGAAGCTAGAAAAAACCAGAATACCTACATAATCTCAAGGCTCTAAACAAGGAAAAAGAAGAAGTCAAATATTTTTTTAGAATTTTAAAAGACAAATATTTTTTATATGTGTTGCAATCTTGCCATAGATAAAAAGAAAAATAACACATTTTCAAACCTGATTACCACCACTCTGAAGAGCTTCAACTTCATGTGAAGTGAACTTTGACACCGATACACACTTTACACGATGAGTATACTCACGACTGCAACACAAATTAATTTGAATGTGAATGAACACCAGCATAAGGAGAAAAGGGTAAAATTAAAAGGCTCGATGAGTCGATTCTGTGATGTAGTATTAGAAAGAGGAGGAAGAGCATTAGGGATTCGAAATATTACCTTCGAATCGTAGAGCTCCCCACTTTATTTTACTGGTACAAAATCTGCTGATTTTGTTGTGGGATGAGTAATTGTTGCTGGTGAGAAGAAAATGGTGATAGTTGATCGGAGAATGAAGGAGATCAAAGGCAAAGAAGGGCAAGTTGTTGGTTCCTAAAATGAATTCCCGGTTTTTCCATGGTAAGTTGGTTTTACGGGAATGAAGGAGATCAAATGTAATTCCATTTACCAAAGGCTTTTACGGAAGGGAATGTCTCAGGAAAGGCGGGTTAATATATGGTTAATATATAACATTACCGGATACATTAAAATGTATTTAATAAATTTGGTTTAGCGGTACCTATTATGTTGACAACTAATAATGTTTTAGATAGAAAATATGAAAAATTATTAAAAAATTTGGTAACCGGTAAACTTCGGTTATCGGTAAGTATCTATCCTTTTTATAAAAGTGTCCATACTTTTAACATATCAAGTAAATTTTACCGGTTTTGTCATAATGAATCTGGTTTTGTCATATTTTTACCTGTTATATTGTAAATTATCTATCCTTTTTATAAAAGTGTCCATACTTATTTCACTGTGAAAATATATTTATTATTATCTTTAGTTAATATTGTTAAATTTAAAATCTAAATAATATTTTATAAAATATCAAAACAATCAAATAATTTTTTGTGTAAATGAAATTATTAAATTAATATTGTAGGTGGAAAACATAAAACACTATTAAAAAAATTGAAACATAAATTACATAACTTTCAAAAAAGTATATATCATTTTTATAAAAGTGTTCATACTTATTTCACTGTTGAAAACATATTTATTATTATATTTGGTTAATATTGTTAAATTTAAATTCTAAATAATATTTTATAAAATATCAAAACAATCAAATAATATTTTGTGTAAATTAAATTATTAAATTAATATTGTAAGTGAAAAACATGAAACACTATTAAATAAATTGAAACATAAATTACATAACTTTAAAAAAAGTATATATCATTTTTATAAAAGTGTCCATACTTATAAAAGTAGGTCTAAGTCATGAAGAAATATTAAAAAATTGTGCTACCGGTTCGTGTCGATCCAAATTAAAAATGTGTCGATCCAAAACGATATAACAGGTAAAACTATGACAAAACCGGTATAGAAATGATAAAACCGGTCAAGCGCTACCGGATACATTTAAAGTGTCGGTACTTTAATATAAGGATCGACACTTCGTGAATTTAAAAGAGAAGCAGTTTTAAATCCTATAAAGTGTCGATACTTTTAAAAAATGTATCGATCCAAAACGATATACCAGGTAAAAATATGATAAAACCGGTAAAAAAATGATAAAACCGGTAAAACGTTACCGGATATATTAAAAGTTTCGATACTTTATATAAGGATCGACACTTTGTGAATTTAAAAGAGAAGCAGTTATAGCGCCTATAATGTGTCGATACTTTAAAAAAATATATCGATCCACAACGATATAACAGGTAAAAATATGATAAAACCGGTATCAAAATGATAAAACCGGTAAAATGATACCGGATATATTGAAAGTGTCGATACTTTCGTAAGTACGTGTAATAAATTATCGACACTTTCAAAGAAATAGGTAATTATCCTTTCGAAAGTATCGACACCTGACATAAAAGTATCGACACTTTTGTATTTGTATCGATTAAATATAAATAACATATCCGATGAAAATATAAAGGCCATAGCTAAATATCCTCTGAAAAAAGATAGAACGGACGAGTTTTTGAAATCGAAGCGTAATTGTTGCTGCATTTCAGAAGGCGTTTCTAAAGCGAAGTTTGTTTGTTTGTTGCTGCAGTCGAATCGAAAAGTATGTTGTCGAAACCCTAATTTTTTATTATTACAGTAATCGCGATAGGGTTTTTTATGTGTTGTTTGGGGTTTTGGAGTAAGGAAGCATTTGGGACCGATTGCAGGTAGAAATAGATATTCAAGGAAAAATATAAATGTCGATACTTTTATTAAATATTATAGGTAGAAAATGATATTATAGGTTGTATAAATGTGCCGACACATTTTGGTGTGACCATTCAAATTCTTTTGAAGAAAACCGTTTTACCACAAGAGTGGTTATCTATATTTGTATATTGAATAAAGTGTATGTAACAAAATAATTTGATTTGCGTAAACTGATATATGAAGGAAAAATGGAGTCAATGGGTTGGAAAATTGTTGGTGGAGCAGATGACTTTGAAATTGAGGCCGAGACTTGAAAGCAACCAAAGGGTGGATATATGTACTTCTAGTAAGTATCAATGTCCTTTTGTTATTATTGTTGAAATGGTAATTGGATTAAAGTATCGATAAACTTTAAATTGATTACAAATTTTAAATGTTAACAGTATGGCCGAATGCAAAAGGATGAAGGGAGATGGCACACAGAGCGGTTCGGTATGTAAAATGAAATTGACATTGAGTAGTATTAGTATTTAGTGTTAATGTATTGATTAAGAAACGTTTATGTTTAATATTAGGTGAAAAAAGATGTGAGGTCCAAATGGAATTCAATGAGTGATGCTGAAAAGGAACCTTACATCACACAGTCAAGGAATGATAGTAAAGAATACAAAGAACGGAGGAAAGCACATGAAAATAAGGTATTCATTAAACTTGTAAATACGTTGATACAAAATATATAAGAACTATAACATTATATATTGTTAAAAAATGTAGGAAGTGTCGACAAGATGCAGCATTAAAAGGGTGAATTTATTAATTAAACACTTTAAGGAGAAGGGTCAGTTGAATGTGCTGGGAGAAATAGGTTTTGGATCGTTGATCGGAGTAAGGGATCGACCTATTCGGAGGGAATTGTGTCGATCCTTGATGGCACAATTTGACGTCAGTCAATGTATGGCTAAGTATGGTGATTATTCATTCCCTCTGGGGGTATCGACTGCTGCAGCCGTCTTGGGGGTACAAAACAAAGGCAAAAGTGTTATAGAAGTCTGTAGGAGTAAGAACTGGAAAGCACTTGCCTCCAAATATGGTTTGAATCATAAGGTGACATATGCTGAAGTTGAAGAGGATATCAAAAGTGGATCTTACTGGGGGGATGAGCTGAAGGCCCGAGTTCTATTGTACCTTGTCGGGATATTTCTTTGTCCAACGGGTGATACGTCAACGAACAAGGAATATATGAAGCTCATTTGCGATGAAGGCTTGAAGGGTGAATTCAATTGGGCTGAATATATCCATTCGAGATTGATTGAATCAATAATCACCTTTAAAAAGGGCAGCCAGAGATACCTCAAAGGGTGCATAGCAATCTTAGAGGTAAATGAGTTGAATCACTTTTTTGTTTTTTATATAAAAATAAATTTTATTATAAATGCAGGTTGCACTGTTCGATTTTTGGTCAGGCTGTGAGGCAGTGCCGGCTTATGAAAGAACCGGAGTGACACGCATCCGTGCATGGGGGAAGGAAGAGGTGGTTAGAGTGATGGTGAAGTTGAAGTTGGATAGAGGGAAGAAGCAAGAAATGGTAATAAATGTAATTAAATAATATTAAGAATATAATCAATGTCTTAATATTGTAATTTAATTTTGAAGGTTATTGGCAAGGATGTAGAGGAGGCAGTGGAGGCAGAGGAGAATAAAGGAGGGATGGTTGTATTGGGGGATGACGGTGAGTGGGACGACGGTGAGGGAAAACATAGTAACTTCGACATTTTGATGTCTGAATTGGCTGATATCAAAAAAAACCAATTTGAAATCATGCAAAGACAATCAAGAGTCGAAGAGAAACTTGATCGAGTCGTAGAGAAACTCGAGAGAGTCGAAGATACACTTGAGAGGCATAAGGGGGTAGTGGAAGGAAAAATAGATGGAGTGGTGAAAGAAGTAGAGGTGTTGAGGGGTGAAGTGGTGAAAGAAGTTGGGGTGTTAAGGGGTGATATTAAGATGGTGACGGGAGAAAAAATTGAGGGAGTGGTGAAGGAGGTTGTGGATTTGAGGAGTGAACTTACGGGGGTGAAGGGGGTGGTTGATAAATACTCGGATGAAGGAGCTCAATTGAAGGGTGAAATAAAAGAGATGAAGAGCTATGTAGAAAAAAAGTACGATTAACTGAAAAAATATGAAGAAGAAAAGAGGGAGGAGGAAGAAGAAGAGATGGAAGAAATGAGGCGGAAGGAAGTTGATGTCATTTATACACCGGAGAGTGTTATAGCAGCAGTTTTGGATTCGGAATATCCTGCACCCCAGAAGAAGAAGCAGAAGGTAAGTTTAATAAAAGAATACTTAATTTGATTTTTATTATGTTGTTGTGACAAAAATTTGTATGCAAAATTGTAGGTTGAAAAAGCGGATATTCCAAGCGGAATTGATGACATCGAAGCTGCAATTTGTGATTATTTATGGAATAGCGAGTTAGAATCGGGGTAAGTGAAATATATTGTTTTGTGAGTGATATTTAAATATTTCATGACAACATATTAATCCTAATGATTCATACAGATATTCTGTAATCTCAATGGGAAATCAATTCGCTACTGTATACGACGTTGCAACGTTGAAGCCTACGGAATGGGTTGGCGGTGTGGTAAGTAGAAAGTAGAAAATGTTAAAACTTATTGAATATGTTCCGATTGTGTAATTAATTTTGTTAGGTTATCGATTTGCTCGCCTGGACCATATGCTACGATTCTCAAAAGTCACTCCGGAGGATTGGCTACCTTCCATACCTCTTAGTGGTGAGTTAAATTAATAAATATTGAAAAGTAGTGTTATAGACGGTAAATTAATAATGTTTGTTGTGTAATTACAGCAACAGGCGTTGGATGCCAACAACAAAGAAAGTGTTGAGAGTATTTCTACCTTCTGGGGTGTCATATTGGATAACTATGTGAAATTCACCGACTGTAAGAAGATAAGACACCATACCAATTGCAAATGATGTTTTCGGATATAGAATGTTGAATTTTGTCAAATTGGGTGTGAAATTTGTTGCAGATCATGATCACAATAAACTACCATAATTCACATTGGTATCTGTTGGTGTTGGATATGGTAGATCGTGTTGTAACAATATATGATAGTATGTTTACAACTGAAGCAGCTAAACAGAGAGTGAAGGATGCTAAGAGATTGGTATGTATGTATG